TCATTGTCTTTTGTGTCCTTTGAGAAATGTGTTTTGTTGGTTTGGTGACCCCAGTCATAACCCTTATGGACTTTGGTTATTGTTCACTGTATGCTTCATATCTCGGCTGAGATGCATTTCAACCCTCTACAACTGCAGTTTTATCTATTATGAACGGTTGTAACCCATTGTATCATCTTGTAGTCAGTGACTGTTAACTCTTCCCTCATATCGGTTACTCTTTGTCTCTGTCTGTTGCTTTTATGAAGATGCTATGAATCTCAAATACGTGTGATAAATTTATGCTTTTCTGGTTACATAAAGAGTGTAAATATCCCGTGTAATCTGCAGAAGTCTCTATTTTACCGCTTTATAGAATAGTATTATGATATTGAAACGATATATCCAAGATGTGAAATAATATCCAAGCTTCTCAACTCTGACGTGGAGTTGAACACGTGTCTAACCCTTTCGGATGACGTGTGCTATCCGCTGCGCTACCGAGACTCCTCGTTTGCTAATACTATAATCATCTAGCGTATGTGAGCAGAAGAGCTTCATTGTAGTTTCTTATGAGAAGAATCAAATCTTTAGTTGCGTTGGTTTTGGTATGTAGGGCTCCCTATCTATCGGAAACCTCTCTCTGGACTGGGTTTTCACTCGTCTTTGTTGCGAAATTTCGGTTATTCTGTCACTTGGAGATGGGAGCTTCGACCTCCGGACGTATTTTATTTTCTTTTACGCGACCCGTATCTCTCGAGGTAATCAAGCTAGGTCATATCATTTGTTGGTTGGAAAGGAGTGTTAGGGAACTTTTTCAAGTGCTTATCAAGACTTATCAAATTTCAATAGATCCTTTCATTCTTATTTGAGCCAACTTGTCATGTGGTCTGGTAAGGGCTCTTGTACAGCCCGATATACGTGTTTCGTCCTACAGACTCGTCAGGCCGGCAGAACCCGTCTTCTTTCGTCAGATCGACTGTTCTTTAGAACCTCGCAAAAAAACATTCAAAATAATTTCAAAAAGAATGCTTTAAGCCTAAACGAGGCTGTTACGCCAGGGTCATACACCGATGTTTCGGAGGTTTCGGCCTCCTCGTCAGTGACCCTCGCCCCACATTAAGCCCTGCACTGAAGCAAGGAGGGAGGCGTATGTGGTGATGGCACAGTGTCCAAAGACACTGGTCCATCACCACCTCTCAGTCGATGTTTTTTGGCTGTTAGATCAAAACTGATCCATCAGATCGACTGTTTTTTAGAACCTCACAAAAAAAAACATTCAAAATAATTTCAAAAATAATGCTTTAAGCCTAAACGAGGCTGTTACGCCAGGGTCATACACCGGTGTTTCGGAGGTTTCGGCCTCCTCGTCAGTGACCCCCGCCCCACATTAAGCCCTGCACTGAAGCAATTATACAACTACTGCAATTATACTACTACCAGCAATTATAACCTCGCGTCGACTAGTCAGATAAATCTTCGAGATTTTTTTTTTGAGTAATTTTTTCCCGTCATTTTGAGAGGTCGATTTTCACTCGATCTTAACACAGGTACCTTCCAATCGACTAGCTTGAGACCTCGCTGAAGAATTCAGTATAATCTGATAGAATGTTTTAAGCCCTCCAGAGGCCTGATATAGGCATTTCCAGTCTTAGAAGTACGTTTCGGCGTGTTCTCGCACGCCTCATCAGTACCACATGCCTAACGGTTCATCCCTACAACTAAAGGTAGCCGCGAAGAAGTTACTATGAAGCGTATTTTCAAACTGATTGATTGTCTATTGCATGGCTTACGGGTGATACGGAGCATATGCAACAAACCTTTCGATCGACTATCTTGAAACCTCGCTCAGAAGTCCAATATAATCTGATAGAATGTTTTTAAGCTTTTTAGAGCCTTTGGAAAAGCATTATTATTATTTATGTTTCGATTATACTTTTTTATTTATTTGTTTTCTATCATGATTTTCTATTTTTACATGTATTTTATTCTATCTATTTCTATTTTCTCCAATTATTTCTTTCCTACTATTACTATTTTCTACTAATTTTTTCCTTCAAGTTTTTCTACCGTTAGCTTTTGATTGGTCCTTTTTCGTGCTGTATCGACGCTGTAAATATCTGTCTAGTGGCTCTGAAAGCCATTAGACCGAACCCATCCAGTTTCACCTGGGCTTCAGGGCCTACAAGCTCTTGTCGGCTCTTTCTTTTAGGCTTCAGCGTCATATATAAGGGTCCTCTAAACCCTAGAGATCTGCCTCAACTGAGCTTATCGTGTAATTCGACCCGACGACCTCGCAGTGCGCCTCATCACTTTCCGCCTCCCTCATCCTCTCTAACCCTTGCCCTTACTTGTCATCGCGTGTTGCCTAGTGGGGAGGGGGTCACGCTGAGGCCTTGGAGGTCACTGTGGATTTCCTATGGGGCGCTTAGATCTGTTTTGTTGCTTTGGTTTAGTCTGATGGATGGATATTGCTCGAGGGAATGTTCTCAAGGCATAGGTTTACTGCTGCCAAAGCCCACATGAGGCCAAGAAGTTGCTTAGAGGGAGGAAACTTACGGAAGCTACCTTGTGAGAAGGAGAGAGCTGTTAGAAAAGGAGAACGTGGAGAAATCTCGAGAAAAATCGATGGTTTATCAGCTCGATGGACGGAGTTATACCAAGAGCTACCGTGTTCCTTGCAAAATACCTCGACAGTTGTTTGACTATCGGGTTCCGTGCAGACGTCGCTTTCCTACTTGTCCAATTACTGAGTTCCTTGTAAACATCGCTTGGTTCTTCAGTTGCTCTCTAGTTCTTCTTTTCCACGAAATTTCAAAGATTTGACCCTTTTGGGACCGTGGACCCACCTCTTCTGCATCTCTGACCTCTAGCGTAGCAACGCTGAACAGTCTGCTCCACCTCCTCTGCGTATCTAACCCCCAGCGGGGGAACGCTTTGAATGTATTATTATTGTTGTTATTTTCTTACTTTATGTTATATTTAAATATGATATGTTGTTATAAATGGGAAAATAGTACAATTGGAGTAACACGATAACACCTTCCATGCGTTCCCGCCCTGAGGGTTAGAGATGCGGAGGAGGTGGAGCAGACCATCAACGTTGCGACGTTGGGCGTTAGAGATGCAGAGGAGATGGGCCCACGCTCCCGAAAGGGTTAAGTGGTCACGTGGGAAGTCCTTCTTTTATTTCTCCATCTCTCTTCTGAACCTCCGTTATGCGCTCTACATCAGAACTCAGTCAGTAGTCATATAATTTGAACTCTTGTCTTTCTTTTCTCTTTCTCTTTTTTTTTGTATTCTTTTGCTGTTCCGTACTAGTCCTGATTTTTCCTCCAACGTCAAATCAGACGCGAATCTCCGGCAATATCTGACAGGCGAGTTCAATCCCGACCAGAGCTACATTTTTGCGGGTTTCCATAAAGTTTGTTCTAGTCAACCACCCACTTCTAGGATGGAACTGGGCTTTCTCTCTCTTTCTCTCTCTCTCCTCTCTCTCTTGCTTTCTCTCCTATCTCTTTCTCTCCTTCCTCTCTCTCTTCTCTCTCTCTCTCTCTCTCTCCTCTTAAAAAGACGATAGAAGCAAGGAAACTCTCTTGCGCCTTTTGCTAGATTTTCTGGCCCTTGTGGAGGGTTGTGGTTCCATCAAATCCTAGATGTTTTTTGTTTTGATCTCTTCAAACAAAAATTATGAAAATATGCTTAGGTGTAGGCTTAGGCTTAGGCTTAGAAAATTGATGGGACCCAGCTCTTCGAGTACCGTCGATTTCCTTGAGTTTGGCCTGACGACACCTTTCATTTTTCGATTGTTTTTTATTAATTATTCAATTCCTATCGAATAAAAATTTTTGATACTTTTCCGTTATACGATCGCAATTCCAGCGCTCGTGGAAAAGTTATTTCTAGGGGTTTTTTGAACACTGAATGATCTTGTGAAGGCCTTAATTTCAAGAATTTTTAAAATATATTTTATTTTCGAAACGGCTCATCTATTACGCTGTAACACTAGAAAAATAATTTCGTTTCTCATCGGAGGATTTCTCGCTGAGCAAAGTTCTTCTTATGGACTTTTAGTAATCATTCGATAGCCTTAATCTCGTGCATTCCAATGAAGCATTCGCTTTCTGAAAAGGACTTCTTGGTGGGCTATGAAAACCGAAAGAAGACTGGGGTTTCGCAAATGGCACTGAAAGAAAACCCGATGGCTTAGAGGCTGTGTGGCGAAATCCCACCTACAGGCAAAGCAAGGTGGTTCGATGTCGATGTTGCGCTGCGTGAAACTTGGCATTCTTTTAGCTGTTTCAGCTCACTGAAGCGTCTTTTTCAGAAACCACATCCACTATTGGAATTGACGAGATTAAAGCTATCGAATGATTACTAAAAGTCTAGAGGAAAAACTTCATATAGCCAAAAATGTTTGAATAACTTAGAAAATTGAGTGGTGAGCAAAAACACGGCCTCAGGTGGGAATCGAACCCGCGTTTCATCTTATCCGAGGACGCGTGCTCTAACCACTGCACCACCGAGGCACATTAGCCCGACCACTCATTCTTCATTCGAAATGTTTGAATTAGAAATTTAGTTTTATCTTTACTCTCAAATCGCCATAAAGAAGTCGTTCTGAAAATGAAGTACATTCTCAAATTTCTTGAGATTTAAGCTTCTGAGTGACACCTCAAACTTCGAAATCCATCGAAAAATAGCTTTCCACGAGCTCTGAATCTGGGGCTTCCGGATAACGGAAATGATCCGCTATTTCTTTAGCAGATGGACAGATGAATGAGTTCTCAATCATACGACTTCGTCGCTATTTACAGCAGCTTGTTCTGTATCAGAAAGCCAATTGTGATGTCCATGAGATTCTTAAGGAACTCAGAAAATCATCGAAGGTATATTTTTCTAGTTTTATTTTCACATTTTCACTACTAAATGGTTCGAAATTATAGTATTTCTACTGCTTATTTCGCAGTTTTATGATGTTACTTACAAAACTTCGAGAATTGAGTGGTGAGCAAAAACGCGGCCTCAAGCGGGAATCGAAACCGCTTTTGATCCTATCCAAGGACTCGTGCTCTAACCACTACACCACCGAGGCACATTTGCCCGACCATAGGATAGGATGAAACACGGGTTCTATTCCCGCCTGAGGCCGTGTTTTTGCTCACCACTCAGTTCTCTAAGTTATATAACTAAATGGTTCTTTCTGATTACGAGCGAACAGATGAAAAACCGCTCTCATTCGCTCAGAAGGAACTGTCCGTAGGAGAGTTATTAACCACTGGAAAGCTGAGACTTGAGGCTAAAACCCACGTCACCGGCTTTCCGAGCACCCCTATATAACGCTCTAGCATCCAGATCTAAATTTCACTTTTATCACGCGTATAAATTCTTTCGAAGCCGAAAAGCATATCAGTGTGTAAAGAAATTTCCTTAGTATCTTAATCAATCGCTTTATCTGGGTTTTCTCTCAGAGCGAAGGAGAAATTTCCAATTAAATAACAATATATATAGATCGTCCCGCCTCGCCCCGTCCATGCCACGGCTCTCGCCTTGTCGAATGGCCACTAAACAACTGGCGAAAATCTTAAACTCGATCTCATTTTTCGTGCTAAGCCGTATTTCCAGAAAATAAGCACATCACTAGAATCAGGAAACATTACGTTATTAGACGGCTACTAATAGTCTAGAGGAAGAGCCCAGCCCGGCGAGGTTTGAAGCACAAATCGAAAGACCAGATGAGATCAAAAGGTCAAGGGAGCTTTCTGAAAAGCAAACACATTTTTGAGTTCTTTAAAGCTTGTACAAAGTCTGTGTACTAACACTCTGAAGAACGAGTATTTTTTCTAGCTAAAAAGAATCAAAATAAAAGAAAAACGCTTTGGTTTTATGGAACATGATTTTACCTTGAACCTTAGAGCGTGTAACGAAGTCTATGAAAAACCGGGCGACGTGGGGCTGTAGCCAGAAATCTAGGCTTTCAAATGATACCTAACATTCCCATGAAAAGTTCCTGTCCCGCAAATAAGATCACTTAGTTTCCCATTTGTTTCCCTGTAATCAGAAGAAACCTTTTGATTTTTTATTTTCAGTTTTTTCCTCTGGTAAATATCGTTCTAGCACTTTTTTTCTCACTTGAAAGTTATGAACGATGGTGGCAAGCTCATAAATTTTGTTTAACGTTCGCTTAGGATTTCAGGACAAACGTCGTCGTGCTTCTCAGTGCCGAAGGAGGAACGACTGGCTTGTCCAGGCCGAGATCCTCGTAGCGCTACGGGTAGGATCTTGCACCGTTATTTTGTTTTCTTTTATTTATTTATTTTTTCTTCGAACGATCCGCATTCAAAAACTTGTTTCCAGTGTTTTCTTAAGACCACAGCTCAAAATTCAATATGCCTTGCGATCATTTTTGAGCCACGCATGTCAGTGGTCTGTCAAACAGACTGACT